TCTCTCTGTACTGCCTCTTGGCCATTGTGATGGCTTTTCTAAGTCTGTACTTCGCAGCTTTGTACTCCGTCTCATTGCCTGATCTGATCGGCAAAGGTACATATAAATGATTTAAGCAACTTTTTAGTCAAACATGGTCAAACAAGAATGTGTGTGGTGCCAAAAATGGCACCCCCCTCCCAGAATTCAATATGGTGTGACGTACTGTATTTTCACATTCTTTGTGATGTGCCTGCAATCAGTCATGCAGCCCTTGGAGTCTAGTTTGAATAAGGTGTGGGGAATGCATTATGTCAGTGATGGTCCTCAGAAGTATATAAGATCACACAAGGAGTCTATGTGACCAAGAAGACGTACGGTATCGGCCTGGTGGGTTTTTATGGGCATTAAAAAGACAATCAAGTCAGCTGGCCTGAAGCAATAAACTATTAACTAGCTGAACTGATGAACCCTGCCTTTGTGTGTGTGTGTGTGTGTGCGTGTCAGTGTGTGATCAGCATGACTGTGCTGTAATGAAATCCTTCAGTGACAGCATGTAGGACAAGTGTTCCTGTTGTTACAGAGAGAGAGAGGTGAGTGCGAGAGGAAGGGGATGGCTATAAAAACAAGAAGCAGAACAGTGTGTGGGAGAAAGACAGAGAACGGGGATATTATTGGCACGATTCTCATAAGTTCTGACCTTTCAGTGCAGTAACACGGGTTCAAATGGCGCAGCTCTTGCCGAGTCAGCAACAAGCACGTTTGTGGCTACTGAGTGTTTTCTACTTCAGTTTGTCCCAGTGGTGTTGTCTTGACTCAGGTGGCACCAAATCACAACAACAAGATGTTTGGAAATGTCTCAAGTCTGTGCTGAGGTTAGTTAACAGTGACATGAACCTTCCAGAGAACATGAGGCTCAAATGGAAGGGTTACTGTGAAGGTGTGTCCACTCCTATATGGTAGGATCCCTTCATAGTGGCATCTCTGGACCTCTGAAAGTTAAATGCTTTCACTGAAATGGCTATAAAATGTTGTTTCTGTGACACACAGATTACTGGTGTGGGACACACAGCAGCGCACATATGTATGAGTAGCACTAACAAGCTGCTGTCAGAAAGTTTGATGCATGTTCTGGAAATAAATGTTTGATTTTAGGTTCGACATGTAGTTTTCAAAGAACCGCCCCATGTGTTATATCCATGTCAGACAGGATGATAAAGCAGGGTCGGGTGCCAGAGGGGAGACTGCAGGCAGGTGCTTGTTTTCATGTATTTGTTTGGCAGCGTCTTCATGGCCTGAATGCTGTTGTGATCTTCTTCTTATTGATATTTGCATCATCTAATTATTTTATTCTTTACCCGAGTCCCCGTCAGCGTCTGGAAAAAGGCTGCTTAATCTCCCTGGGGTCCACTTATTCTGATGTTGTATACAATGTATTCATGTGGCTTTTATTATGATTAATATGAATTTGTTCTTTGTGCTCTCTAATCTGAGTTGTTAATCAAAGAACTGCCATCTCACTTTGGGTGATGGCCATCTTAAATTCACCCACAATATGCCACCTCCACTACTGCTGTAAAGAAGAATGAAACACTGTGTGTGCCCAGTTCCCTTCCTGATCCTGTACAACAGGATCATCTGCAGTGGAATTAGACAAGTCTTTCCAAACCCTTTTCTGGTCCCTTTAGTTCCCAGAATGCTCTCGACCCCATCACACTGTTGAACTGTCATGTTAATTTGTGTATTGCATTCATCTGGATTCTATATTAAAGAGCATGAAGGCAACTCCAAATGGATTATATCAAGAACTGATAAGCATAGCTCTGACACATGACTGGATTAGCCACTAAACTGAGGACTGACGTCCACTGAGCAGTGTTACTGAAGCGTGAAATCTCCACTGGTTGTCTTTTGTGGTTTTTGGCAACATTTTTATAAGTTTCGCTGCTTTTACAAAGTCATATTTGAGGCTGCGTGCTTGCTTCTGAATTCATGGTACATTTGGTTTAGGCCTGTGGAAGACACGTTCTGTTCGGTACCATTTCTTTTCTGACAGTCTGTGAGTGTCTCATCGTCTCTAGGCTCGATTTCAGCAGCAGCGCCTGTCACTTCAATTCACTTCAGGTCATTTCAGTTGTGCAGCTCCAGACTTTATGTGGTCAGAGATGAATTAATCAATTTCACTTCACTCACCATCTGTGTGTGTGTTTATATATGGAAATTGCCAGGAAGGGGGATGAAAAGACCAGAGGTCGACCGGGTCGCTGGGCAAATTTACTCTACACACAATAAAAACTTTGTATACAAACACACACACACACACACACACACACACACACACACACACACACACAGTGCAATGCTGATAAATGTCTGCAGCGACACACAGTAAAAGATGGTCAGCTGATCATGTAAATATACACACAAACATGCTGAAAATATAAATGCAAATTCTCACACCATCATACAAATCAACAAACAGAATCAAAGACATGCACACGCCCTACCTTCTCTCTTGCTGTTGCGAAGGCATTTGACTTTTGGTAGTTTGGTGAGAAGCTGGCAGTCACTCTCTGAACAAAAAGAAGCAGCACAGATTCAAGACAGCAGAACAAAATGTAACAGAAGAGAACGTCGCTGTGTAATAATATATAATATCTCTAAAACGGCAGGAAAATTAGCACCTTGTTGAAAAGCTTAACAGCAGCAGGACAGCGGTTCAAAGCTTTCAGTTTTACAGAAGTGAAATGAATATTTAACACACGTTTGAAAACAACAAAGGCGTTTGTAATTACTGCCTGAACAATATTAAACCAGATTCAGTACAATTCTATTAATTAATTAAATGTAATATATACCATATATGAACAAACCTTTCAAACAGGAACATAATGAGAACAACATTTTTTTTAACCGAGTTATTATAAATAGTAATTATAAATCATATTATTATTCAACAATTAAACATATTTGAAAATAGCATAGTTTTGTTTTCATCAGGTTTATCATTACATAATGATGTGATTATGTTCCTTACAAATTTGCAGATGTTACAACTTAATGATTGTTGTGTCACTCAGGTTTAACTGACTTTTATTTACATTTAATTCTTGTGGAGCTCTAAAATAAAGATATAGTCATCACACAGGTTCTTTGCAGCTCTAATTGTTGCTGTCACTGCTCTCTCTATGAAAATAAATAGGACTGGGGGGAAAGAGACCCTGGATCAAAGGTAAGTTGTCCTGAATGACAGCAAACCTCCATCTAAGTCCTCTGGCCCAGGCGTCTGGCCGCTCTCCTCCCCCACTCAACTTCTCCTTTAAGTGAAAACTCTTTGTGACAAAAGGCAAGAAAATACTTTGACCCTGGCAGAAATGTTTTGACCGATCACAAAAGTTAAAGCTATTTTTGACCTATGATTCAAAAACTTTCTTCTCAAAACTTTAGAAAACTCTTAATGGCAATGCTTCCACCATGTCTGTGGCATGCAGCCCCAAACCCAGTGGTTCCTACTGAAGGTGAACATCTTTAATACAGTTTACATGTGTGTAGTTAGATTTAGCCTTGCTCAAACAGCTGGGCACAGATGTTACTCAAAGAGGAGAAATCTGTTGGGAACATGTCACCCAGTGCAACAGTGTGGCTAATTTGTGTGTTTTAATTAGTTTTTGGACAACAACGCAGCTGCACAAAGGCTTTGGCTACACACACTGTAGGATTAATTCACACTTGGATTTGGTCATTTCATTGGCTTTAAGCCTCATTGTTTTAAGGTCAGTTCAAACAATTTTCTCTGTTCTGTTTGGTCTATTTCACCTGGGCTCTGAGCGTCTTTGGAGACAGAGCGGACGCAGCTGTCGGCTCCTCTTTGACCCAGACATTTCTTTTCATCTCCACTGTCATCCTGACACTGTGGCCCCAGCTGCTGAGGACACGTCCCTCCCTCTGACCCGGTATAAAGGGCTCATCTCTGTTATCTCTGACCCGGAAAACACCTGGACCCTGTGTGATTGTGTTTTTATGTATGTGTGTGTGTGTGTGTGTGTGTGTGTGTGTGTGTGTGTGTGTGCAGCTCACCGTCGTTGCTGAGGTCATCCACCAGAATGATCTCATGGATGAGATGAACTGGAGTTCGGTTTAAAACACTGGAGAGAAAGGGTGAGCGAGAGAGAGAGAGGAAAATATTAGTCTAACATATGCACACACAAAGAGACGAATCTAGCTAAAAAAAACGCCAAGTGCAGTATACAGAGAGGCGACTGGTAAATGCCAGCCTACACACACACACACACACACACTCTCAGGTGCTCATGGATCCATTATGTACGCAGCGCACACCATATAAAACAACATGGTGAAAATGTCAGGCCAAATTTCTGTTGTGAAAATGTATGTGGTGTCGCCTCTAAAAACTATTTCGTTAAAGGGGAAGATTGAAACATAAAAAATTCATAACTTTTACTGGAAGAAAATGAGAAGATGTGTTTTGTTCTGGGTGGGTTTCTGCTCTGCTTTATTTCATTATTTCTACTCTTCAATAACCTCGGTGTTCACCAGGGGAACAGAGAGGAGGGAGAGATGAGCAGAGCAGGAAAGAAAAAGGAGGGCAGGGCAGGGGAGAAGGAGAAAAGGAGGGAGAGAGTGTGAAAAGAAAAGCAGGTTGAGCCCAGGAAATGATGGAGGGAAAGGAAATGGAGGACGACAGAGGAGGAAAAGAATAAAATAAGGGAGGAGAGAACAAGAGTATGAGGGACGGAGGAGGGAATCAGAGAGGAAAGGGGAGAAAAGAGGAGGAAAGAGAATATACCAGAGAGTGAAAGAAGAAAGAAAAACCTACAAATATAAAGAAGGTGAAGAATGAAAGGTGGAAACATTTAAGGAAAAGAAAGGTGAGGGAAATAAAGAAAATGAGAGAACAAAAGAGTAGAAAGGAGGGATATCAGGATAAAAGGTGACATGATAAATAAAAGAGGGTGGTTAAGGAGGGTGTTAAAGACAGGAATGGACTAAAGGGGAAGGATGGAGGAAAAGGGAACAAGGAGTGACGGAGGAAACAAGAACAAGGGTACCAACTAGGATGGAGAGGACGAAGGTGGGAAAGAGCACAGCAACAAGGGAAACAAAGTTGTCAAGGAAGGAAGGAAGAGAAACGGGAAGAAAGAGGGAGTGAGAGAGATGGCAATGATAGTAGGTAGGGAACAAGATGTCGCTGAGAGGATCGATACAATGAACAAGAAAATGAGTGACATCAAAATGAAATTGGAAAAAAACTGAAGAGCGAGAATAAAAACAGGAGGAGAGAAAAAACAAATAATGAGGAAACCAAAAAAAAGACTGATTGATTGACACAGAACCAAAGAAGGAGGTAAAGGGAGATGTGACAGTGACGAAGGGAGCGAGGGATGGAGGAGTAGAGTTTGATAATGTAGGAGGAGGTGTGGAGCGAACCTATGAGTCTCTGAGGCACTGGACCCCATCAGGAGGAGTGATGGCTGCAGGGAGGAAGGGGGTGGGGGGTTAGAAGAGGTGGAGCAAGATGAAGGAATGAGGAGAAGGAGAAGGGGGGGGTGTCAGGCTAGTAAGGGAGACAAATAACCCTGATTGTAAGTCTCTCTCTCTGTGGAGTCTGAGGGCCGAGGATCAGCAGAGATGGATGAACGGACTGATGGATGAGAGGGAGGGAAGGTGGGGGGCAAATAAATGAAAGAAGGATGCGAGATGGTGGAAAAGAAGAACAGAGGAATGAGGCGACCAAGCAGAAATAAAATTCTGTATTTATCTCATTAGTTCACATTAAATTCTCCACCCAGTGAATGGCTCAATCTATCTACGTATAGATCTACCATCCATATGCTTTTGTCTTCTGTCATTCTTTCTTTCCTTAATCTTTTTTCTTTCCATCTCTTTTTGTCTTACTTTATGCTACAGTGGTGCAGACAGACATGGATGGATGGATGCAATCGCTCTCTTTTCTTTCTCTCTCCACCTCCTCTCCTCCCCGTCACCTCCTCTCTCACGCACTGGAGTTCCCATTCTGTGGTTCACAGGCCACTAGCTATGAGGCTTAACCTCCCCTCAGGCGTGCTGAGAGAGAAGCTATCTTCTGCTCACAGAAAATATTATCACCGCTGACAATACCGCAGTCGGTGCCACAGAATAGCAGCTCTATATCTGCGCCGCTCATTTCCAACTCTCTATATATCAATTTTAGGGGGAATTTTTTTGAAAAATGTTCATTACCTACAGCTGCCATTTGGAGAGCACTTTGAGAACCCACATTTTTAGAGCTGCATGTGTGGCCCCACTGGGAATTTAAGCCCATTCTCTGGCAGTGATAGTGCTGACGCTAAATGGGTGCTGCTGTTCGGCTGCTGGGGTGAAGGGGTCCAGTCCCACAGGAGCCACCCATGCTCAGCGTGCGTGCACTCACGGCAGAGTGAGGCAATCTGGGTAAAAATGATAAAAGCAGCTACCAAAGTGAAGTGTAGTTCTTCAGAGAGTGGCGAGGAGAAGTGAGTGGAGGAGCAAACACACAACTACACCACCTCAGCAGGATGTAACAGGCATGACGAATGCCTTTCTGTTCGGTTCATTATTGATGTGATTGATCACTTTATCGACTGGCTAAGACTGCTGCTTCGTCCAGCTTGTGTCACGCCTCTTGCCAGTGCATGCTGGGACAAGCGGTTTGGACAAGGGGAAGATGGATGGATGGCCAGTTATCTCACTGACTATGATAACAAGCTTGCTGAATGTGAAACCGATGCAGATGTTACCTGACTGGCAAATTTAATAATTTACAGACATTTAGATGAGTGTTCAAAATGTAACCCAGATCAAGGTCTGAGGCATTTGTCTTTATGTTACTCAGAATGAATGAGCGACTCAAATCCAGTTTGACCCCATCAAACATTACGTTCACATTACAGGCCATAAGACTCAATTCTGATCTTTTTGTGTTGATAGTTCACACTCATCTGTAAGTGCCTTGTATCTGTGTGAACACCGCTGAGCTCCTAAACCGGAATGTGTGCACAGAATAAACTGAAAGATGAGTCATGTGTGTACAACAATAACAACAACGTCAAACGGCCCAGTTTCCTCCCAAACTGCTGGGTTATGATATGTTCCTTCCAGTTTGGCCTAATCAGAAGCTTCTCCATAAGTGTCCAACACATGTGAAACGTCCTGGTCTCTCCACTGTCCCCCGTCGCTGTCGTCACTCTCCTCAATGTTTATTTTATGAATTCTGACCTGAACGTTCTGACAGCACTCACCGAGTCAGACATTGGATATGAATCGGCTCTAGCAGCACATGGAAGTGACCCAGATCTGATCTGAAAACATCTGGTTTGGTTTGTTCACATATCCATGAAAAGAACAGAATTCATGTGGTTTTTTTAACGTCTCTCTCCTCTGCACATATCGCCTGTCGTCATCATTCAGCGTCGGCCCCTCACAGATCGACCGTCTTGTCGTTACTGGAACAGATTTATGGATTTATTTACACTGAAGCAGTGGTGCTTTCAGCTGCTGTGAACTAACTATCTGCTGCTTGGTTGGTTAGTGTAAACACAAAGTGCATCTCTCTGTTTCGTGTGCACAGGTTTCTTGTGTAAATCAGCTGCAGAAACTCAGTTCCTTCCAGGTGAGGAATCATATTAGCCTCTGCTGTTCATGTGGTATTAGATTTTGCTCAGGGCACAGTTTTGTTCTTTTTATCCTCTCTAAAGCTTTCTCCTTTTTCATCTGTTCGTACATCAGCTCAGCTCCCTCCCTGGCTGATCGGTTAGCTGACAGCCAGTTCTTCCATCCTCTACCTTGCTGGAGTAATTCATCATTCCTTTCTCGTCCCCTCTGAATCCACTGCTTTTGCCTTCATCTCACTATCCTTCTCCAGCCTATTTCTCTATCAAGGCCTCTGAGAGCAATGGAAGAATTTTACTGCAAAGCTAGATGCCCACTATTTGGAAATAAGCCCTATTTATTCATAAATGGTGATGAGGGTGAGATTATATTGTCAAGATATTTCTAAAATATGTAGCAATGATAAAAGTTTATCTTGTTCAAATTATACACTGCACTGTTTTCATTGCATCCTAAATCATCCTCTCTCTGACAGAAAGCCTTTCGCAGCAGAGCCACACAAAGTGCTCTTGGAAAGAAATCCTGATCCAGGCATTCAATACTGCATGTTCTGTTCTGAGAAACCTCTAGTGATGCATTATGCTATATATCTGCACCCAGTAAACAATGGCTCATCACTGCTGATCTACAGTGCTGCACATTTGCATTTATCAGGCCCAGTCTGGGATCAAAAGGCGAGTTTGTCTGATTCATTAGAGGACAGTGTGTGTATAAGCCTCATAGATGGGATGAAAACAGTGACACCACTGATGATCTGTAATGCTACATATCAACATCCTGTCTACTCTTGACAAATACTTGCAGACTGCTGAAGCTGGATGGTAAATTCTACCTGATAACACATAAAACAGGACTAGGTGCAAGAATTTTGTACAACTTGGGCCCATTGGCCAAAATCTGTTAGGAATTAATGTAATGTTCCAGTTATATGTTTGCTCCAATGGTGTGCAAGAAAGGGATACAGGCTGAGATAGAAATAGAAGAGTAGTGTATGAGGTCCATAGGAAAAGGTGCACTTAGAGCAGAAAGCTAAAACTATAAATTTATCTAATGGCCTCTTCTTAATAAATCCTGAGTAATCAGATGTAGAGGAAGTGATCCGGACTCTTTACTGTGCATTTTCAGGACAGCTGAACCAGAAAGTGCTGAGCTAGTGCTGATCTAGAATCGCCATTTCTACACTCCCAGTGACTGCTGGCTGCTGAGCGGAGCAGGATGGCTGGTTGGCCAGGTTACAGATTGACTGATGGACCAAGTGGGTAATTAGAAGGATAGTGGAGTAGAATTTTCTAGTCATTTTCAGTTCTGTCCACTGACATCGCTGTTGACCAACTTCATTAATGAAGAAACAGCCCAAATGAAAACTGTTAAGCCCAAAGTACAGGTAGGACTTTGTACAACATAACTGAATTTATATTTACCTTTACCACACTGGGGCTAGTGATAAAATGAACTGTGAACTGGCCCTGGCTGGGCAAAGCGCTGGGCAGCCGCACTCTGGTGGGGCTACATGGCAGCACTGAGAGTTACAATTAAAGGGAAATATGTTAGATGAGGCATATTTTTCTCCATCTGTGATATCTTGTTCTGTAAAGCCTTCTTTTTGTTTGTTTATGTCATTAAATTTGAGATTAGCAGCTCTGATCTCATAATGTCTGTCACGGTGGCGGAGATTTCCATCTTGCACCTGTGGCTCCCCCCTAATAAAAGAACCCTTTTTACCACTCAGGAGGCCGTTTTCCATGAATGCACGTGCAAACACACACACACACACACACACACACACACACACACACACAGGGCCAAAACAAACTAAACCCATTAAAACCAAATACGTCCCCAAAAGCTCTACACGCCTTTTCTCTCCCTTGTTCTCTTTCTTTTCCACTCCCTCCGCCTGCTTATCTCCCACCCAGCGGGGAGACAGAAGATGAGATCAATTTTCGGATCAGAGCTTGATTAAATATCGACAAGGCCCGGCTCTCCCTCAGAAAGCAACTCTTTGATCATAAGATGAAAAGCTTTCAGAGTGCCCATCATTGTCTCAAATCAAACTTATTAAAGTTCAGCCTGCAAATTGCTGAGGCCAAAAGCGCACAAAACTCCAAAATTACACCCTTTTATAATGTAATTGTAGGCATTCAATATAGTTTCAGTGTTTTCTGAGTCCCCAGAGCAAAGCAAGATTGTAGAGAGTAAAAAGAAAACTTATCTAGCTATTATCTATTCAAGTTGCTTTAAACTGACATTTCAAAGAGATTGCATTTTTTTTTTTTTTTTTTTTTGCTGTGTTTGACTAAATAGCTTTCAAAGCTTCAGAAAAAGCTCAATATCTTTTGTAAACTTTCCGGCTCAGATCCAGTGAAGATCAGAGAATAAGCAGCTTGGCATTTTTCAGATGTATTCACCCATGAAGAGTGATGAGTCAGGCTTTTTTTCAACTCACTACTTTACTTCATACCATCACAATTTCAGACATTCACATCCAGGAAACACTAACAATCCTCCACTGGTGGCAGTAGCTAGAACAGTGATATCAATAACATCAGGTTAAGCACCTTGATCAAGTTGTTGTCCTTGATTATTTGTATTTGTATTTATTTGTACAGTTTTAAAAACTTTAATGTGCTCTCATTGTTTTCACCTGTTTTCACCCCTTTATAGGCAGCTTTCCCCCACTGGATTGTTCTCTAACCCATGTCAGACGTTCCAGCGTTTTTCCTTGTGCCTGTATTTCCTGTTTTGACCCCGGACTGTTTTTTGACCATTGTGTTCTGCCTTGCCCTCCTGCTTCGGACTGCTTTCTGTGTATGGCTTATCAGACTTCTCTCTCTGACCTCTCGTTTGTGGATTCCTCGGCTGTGTAAGATTGCTGGCTCTGACCCCCCACTGTATTTTCGACCTGAGTGTGTGTTTTGTGTTCACGTAGTTTTCGGTATGGTTTTGTTGTCCATGCTCTTATTAAAGAGACAGTTTTTCACTTATCCTCGTCTGGCTCTATAATTGAGTTCACCCTTGCTATTATCAGCAGCTTCACGCGCTGCTCCTGACAGTTTTTCCTTTTGCTTTTGGCCAGCAGTAATGTAAATTACACACAATTTGTAGTTAATGGACAAAAACCTGCTAAAGCAACGGCTGCTCCATTAAATCTCCATCACTTCTGGGTCCAAGTGACTTGAAATCTGACCTCTAATGTTAGAAGAGACTTCAGATCTATTTGTAAACGGGGGAGCTGACTCTTCCACACTGGAGTGTGTAAAATACTGCAGATACTCTGGACAGGACCCATTTGAAAACTTTGTTTCCATAGCAACTGACCACCTCTCTAAAAAGGTAGCTGCATGTGCAGCTCCAAACAAGTTGCTCCACTGTTACAGTCTCATTACTCATTATATTACTGTTTTGTGTCTGTTGGCTGTTTGTGTTTCTATCGTCATCCTCTCTGACTCAGATATAGTAAAAACGGTAAATGTCAATTGATTGCATGAGGCAAGGTCAGTTTTTCTACACTTAAACAGCTCTGCCTGGTAAACGAGCAGGCCTTGGTTCACTCTCAAGTGAATCAGAAAATGGCAGCTTTAAAAAATTTAATATCAAGGTAAAGTGGGAAAATTTAAGACCTCAAAGCTGTTACAGTCACTTCCAGGTTGTTCTTCATATTTCCCACTTCTTGTGTTTTTTCCAGATCAACTGTCAAACAGTTCATATTGTTGGATCTTCTATTAACAGTTCTCTGTCTGTGGAGCTCAGGGGTGCATTAAGGGAGGTGAAGGCAGTGCAGTAAGTCATCCTTGCTGCTGATTTTCCCAGTAGCCCAAAAAGCCTGTTTCCTCATCTATCAACATTATAAAATATGTAAACTATGCAAAACTGTTGACAGCTTGCCTCAAATGGCAAAGAACATCAGTTACTAACCTCTGTGTTATGAATTTTTAATCCGTGAAGATTTAATATCTGTAAAACTTTGCCAGAGCCACGAAACACTATCTTTAAGTGAGTTCTATCTAGATGTAAAGTCTGGGTCCAAACCACATGGCTCATGTGGCACACAACAAAAAGCAAAATGAAAATATAAAGCTTTGTAGGCAGATGAACTGGATAAGCAGCTTTAAACAAATATGCGGCCACTGCTAGTAGCCGGTTAACTTAGCTTAGCACAGAGACTGGAATCAGGGAAAACAGTGAGCTTAGCTCTGCCTAAAGGAATCAAACTCTGCCTACCAGAACTATGAGAGTCAGTCTTTGTGAAAGGCTAAGCTAAACTAACCAACCAGTGCTTTTCATCTAACCCAGCAAGTGAAGGAACCAAAGTGTCAAACATCTATTCCTTCATTTTGGAAATCCTTGCTTTCTCTGCTCATCGGCCATGTTGTTTGCTACAAACAAACTGTAGAAACATGAAGTCTGACAGAGCCTTCAACATTCAGAGCAGCTATCACACTGAGTGTTCAGAAGCTAATTGAAAATGTGGGGCTGGGTTGTAAAACCAATCAGAATTCACTGACAGGAAAACAAACATATAAAACATATAAATAAGCACATGAAAATATTATGAATGGTCACTGACAAATATTTTTTAAATATAAGATTTGTTCATCTTAAAATGTTTTCACGTCAAATAAAAAGATGTAAAGTGGTAAAGATGCTCCAGAGGTTCCTGCATATCCTGGTGAGAGCCACTCTTCTAAATGCACAAACTAAAAATAAAAGGCAGCTAAACTGCTTCCAGCTCCAAGTCGCCATTGCCAAACATGCACACACACACACAAACACACGTACACACAGAGCTAGAGCCAAAGGGAGCATTGAGGCCGAGGGAGACAGATTGTCTTTTAATTGGTTGAAAACTGCAGAGCTTTGAGAAGGGCTGAAGGGGAGGACACACATACACAGACAGAGAACACTTACAGTACACTCACACAATCGCACAAAACACACAGTGTCCTCTGTGATAGCAAGGAGACGTGGAGTCCCTGCTGACTGACTGATATAATGGGCTGAACTCGGGCCAAAATCTGGAGGTGTGTGGCTCTTTTATTGTACACGCACATGTGTGTGTATGTGTGTGTGGGGGAGAACCTGCTGATATCATCAAACTAGAAGACAGAACAACAGTCCAGAGACTGTGGGTTGAGAGAGTGTTAAGAATGTGAGAGTGTGTGTGTGTGTGTGTGTGTGTGTAGGTCGTTTCCTTACAACACCATAACACCAGTTTTACCAATTAACTATTTCTCTAAAAGTCTTATTAAACCGATTCTTATTCTTTCTCTGTGTATTTACTGTGTGTGTGTGTTACCTCCTGATGGTGCGCAGCAGAGTGGATCTGGCCTCATTGTGGAAGGTGATGATGATGGAGGTTGGAGGAAGGTCGGAGTCATAGTGAAGAGTGGTGCAGCTGGAGAGAAGAGATATATATTTTACTTAATCAAGCCAAACGTTCTTTGAAATAAAAAGTTATTTTATCAGTACTGACTATGAATGTGAAGTCTGAAAAGCAGTAATTACAGTACACAGCTGGTGACAGATGAAAGGACAAACTGTCACCCAGCGCCCAGCGGCGCCTTGTCAGGGCCAGGTCTCCTCTGTCGGAGGAGGAAACCTCCTCCTTCCAAACCAGACCCCCCCCAACTGTGTCCAACCCACTGTCGTCCTCATGAAGCCATTCAGTGACCTAGAGCTGCAGCCATGAGTCAGTTCACTGGTAGAAAATGAACCTCAGCTATTTAGAAGCAACAGTCACCGACATGTTCTGGTTCCACCTTCTTTAATGTGAGGAGCTGATGCTTTTCTTTGTCAGACATGAGAATCAGCTGAGTCTCTGTGGATCTGCTGGTTGGACGCAATGAGACGTGTGAAGACGCCACCTTTGGCTCTGGAGAGTCACAGTGGGACTTTTTCCCCAGTGTCTGACATTCTGGGGATAAACAGATCAATCAGATCATCAGGACGATGATCAGCTGATTGATCAGTGATCCTTCTGGTTGTTACTCAGTTAATCAGGATGCTCATTTAAGTTAATACAGTAAAAGTTGTACATTTATGAATAAGCATTTGAAGAAAAAGGACTAGATTATACTTGTGACATGTGTCTAACATGTTCTTCATTATAACTGAATCATGCTCTATTAGGACTGAATGATACTTGTAACACACCAAATATAACCAACACTACAAACGGTCACATTTCACGAGCAATAAAGTCAATTCAAACCTCTGAACTCTAATAATAATGTTTTACTTGGATCATGTGATTCATTTCTCAGGGACATGTTATATGGTAATTAGTGATCAATTGAAGTGAAATCAAGTTGTTCGAAATGCTTAATTTTCAGTTGTGTGTTTTACTGTCTTCAGCCGTGTGTGTGGACACACACAGTGACGGAGTAATCGGAGCAGACCTGCTAACGATGAATTATACATGACCTGCCAGAGGCTCATTAAAATCCACCACATAGGAGTGTTTGTGTGACTGTGTGGGCGATGCCTTCGCTGGGTCAGCGCGCACACACACACACACACACACACACACACACATACACACACACACACAGTACAATGAGCAGACTGGCCTTTACCTATCAGTTTGATGGATTGTTGACATTTTCAAACAGAAACAGTCTGCTTACTCTGTGCTGGCCTTCATTTAAAAAAAAAAAAAACCCTCACCTTTCTCAAATACGTGTGTGTAAGACTTAACCCAACACATGACATCGCTGGCCAGTTTGATGCATGGTTCTCTACTGCTCACCCCGTTTACCATCAAATTATTTGTGGTGTGTTTAGATTATTCAATTAAAAATGCTGAAAAACAAATGGCTGACTCATGATCAGCCATTTTCTTACACATAGAATTTTCCTGCTATACTATAAAAAAGCAAAAGTAACAATTCGAAATCTCACCAATAAAGTCTGTTTGCACAACATGCACAAATAAGAAGAAGACTGAAGTTTTGCGATTCAAAAACATTAATGAAGAGTTAAAACAAAGTGACTTTGCTGCGACTTTAGCCGAGTGGAGTCGTGAACACCTGCGGTATTGTGGTGCACAGAATGAAAGATATGATTTAAAGTTGAATTACAGGATATAATTTTATATTGCCACATCAAAGTCACTAAGGTAACAACAGTTGGCGGTTGTTGTGTTTCTAACGTCACAAATATATGAAGCAAAGCAGACCGGCAACCAGTTTGTCACCAAGAAAAGCTGAGACACCCCTGGACGATGCAGCCCCACTCTGTCGTTTAGAAAGATAAGATATACTGTATTTTCACAGAAACATTTCAGAGACAAAAAAACATATCTATGTTTGAAGAATCTAAAAAGGCAATACAATAAACATGTTGGCTCATTGTTTCCATATCCAGGAAATGTTTAATAAAAACACTAAATATGTATCAGGTTTGGTCAGTGCAGTTTGTTCATCCAATCCAAAGTCATAAAACATAAAACACGACTTTAGACTAAAGTTTTAAGGATCACACATGAACAGGACTTCCTTCCCCTTTTTTAAAATAGAATTTCTACAGTTAAATTGAGTTAACACATAATATTTTATCAAATGAGCTAGATTCTAGCAGCCTTCTGGTGCCATGCAGTACATCCTGTACAGTGGCAAAAAACAGTATGTGAACCCTTTGGGATGATCTGGTTTACTGCAATAACTGCTCATAAAACATGACCCGAGTATAGACAAACACAATATGATTAAGCTCAAAACACACAAACAATTATAATCGCTCATGTTTTTATCGGACAGATCTATAAAACATTCACAGTGCTGATGGAAAAAAATAGGTGAACCTTTGGATGTACAGTACAACTGGTCGAGCCTCCTTTGGCAGCATTAACCTCAGACCAGTGGATTAGAGCAGCAGTAAATCTGGACCACTCTTCCTCACAGAGCTGCCTCAGCTCAGACATAATCTCAGCGTGTCTGGTGTGAACGTCCTCATGAGCTCATTCCCCTTACGTCTATAGTAGAGTCACTTTCAGTGCTTAGGGTCAGTGCTCTAACCCACAGCTCATGAGCTGGACTCCAGGGTTGCCAACGCTGCACTCCAGTTAGCTTTTGGTGGCGTCATTACCTGAGGGGGTTCGCATCATGTTCAAGATCAAGATCAAAGATTTTTTATTGCCAATTCACTATATGTGCAGCACATACAGAAAAATTGAAATACCGTCTCTCTCTCACCTAATCACCTTTTCCCAACCAAAACTGTGAACATTTGAATGATACATGGTTAAGGAAACTACAGTGATTTAGCTAAAATAGATTGGGTTTGTTCATTTTATTTACATGAAAATCTGGCCCTGCTTACACACAAACGCACATTCACATTGTTTTTCCTGCCACCGCATTTTGTCGTCTAAGCTCTTCGTGTCCCGTGGAAGTGTCCTTGAGCCAAACATTGTGATTTGCTCTAAGCTAGCACACAAGCATGACTCCTAATTTGTTGTATTAACAGGTCGGTGCACAGCATCAGTCAGTGCACACAGGCGCCTGGCTGTGAAATAATACCATCAGCACCTCATTAACTCGCAATTTGATTTTTTTAGTTTAGAGGCACAGTGATTAAGTGGGGAAACGGTATCAGCAAAGCAGATCGCAGAATGCAGGAACAAGCGAGTCGTACTTTTATTGTAGCAAGATGTAAAATGAACATATAATGTGGAAACAAGGACAAGGTTTGGTGTTTAGCTTAAGGGCGTGTTGGCCGGGGTCCGTCTGTCCGTCCGTACTTTGCCTTATCCTTTAGTCTTCCATGTCGGTCTTTTGGGTTTTCTTTCTCTTCATTCTTTTCTGTTTCCATTTCTAATATTTTTCCAGTCTTCTTTTCTTTCTCCATTACTTGTTTTTACTGTCTTAGTTACAGCTTCCATCATCAAAACAGGCAATCAATAAAAGGATGAAGTTAAACAACAGCACGAACACAAACCAGATGAATGAAATCTGCATGCTAGCCTGTACTCATGGCCCAAAGTTTGAGTTTTAAATGCAAGTACACACATGCACAGAAAGCTGAGGGCTTTAAAAGTGAAGGCCAGAACAGGCTGCAAGCAGACTGCTGTCGCTTTGCATTCACATTTCTTTCTTTGCTTCCTGCTTCCCTCTTCCATTGTCTCTCCCCCTCTCGTAGCGAGAATAGGAATATGCACTTTATATATTTGTCATACTGTATCCCATCATGCCCCTCTCCGCCCCCACCATCCCTCTATCTCCCTGTCTCTATCTCTGGTTTTTCTGCAGCTGATTTATTCAGCAGCTCTACCAGAGAGGAAGATAAAGCCCAGCTGCAACTGTGAGCGTATGCGTGTGTGTAACAGAGAAAGAGTGAGAGACAGTGACAGACAGGCAGAGAGAGACAGACAGATGTACAGATAAAAGTTGTGCTGACAGACGACTGATGTTGAAGCTGATATGAACAAGCTTCCATACTCCCTCAACAAGTGTATATGTGTGTGTGTGTGTGTGTGTGTGTGTGTTTCCTGATGCATCAAAGCACAGGAGAAATCACACAGGTAAGGAGAGTTGAGGAAATATGGGAATGGGGAGAAAATAGATCAAGAAGAGGATTGTGAAGAAGAACATTTGAGAAAAGGAGCAGATTATAGACAAGAAAAGAGGAGGTGAAGGAGTAAAGAAGAGGAGGTTTAAAGAAGGCAAAAGAGGAGAGGTTTGGAGGTGGGAGGCAGGAAAGCAGGATAAAAGGAGGTGGGAGGGTAAAAGCAAAGAAGAGCAAGAGGAGGGATGGAGGAGGAGTACAGGATAACAGGAGGGAGAATGTGCGAGGGTAGAGAAGAAAAGAAGGGGTAAAATGCAAAAACAATAAACCAAGGAGGAGAGCAGAGAAGGATATGTCAAAGAGGGGAGGAGAAAGAAGGAAGGACAAACACGGAGGACAAGAACAGAAGAGATGGAAAGGAAGTAGCAAAGAAAAGGAGATAAATTGAAAGTGATGGAGAGAAGAAGGAAGAGAAAAGAAAAATGAGTATAGAATAAGATGAAAAACAGAAGATGAGAAAACCAAGGAACGGAAGTAGGGGAGGAGAACGGTGAAAACAAGGAGAGGAAATGAGAAGAGAGGAAACAAGAGGAGAGGAAGTGAGAGGGAGGAGAGATGGGTAAAAAATGCAGAGGAGGAGGGGATAAAAAGTGGACAGTGAAGAAAGAAGGAAGAAGAGAAGAAGAATAGAAGGATATGCAAAGGCAAAGGACAAAATAAAATGAAAACTAAGGTAAAAACTAGGAGAGAGAGAAAGAAATACAAGTGAGCTGTGAAATGCAAAAGGAAAACCAGGACGACAACAGTAACTGATCAGAAGCACAAACACTGAGGTAAAAAGGAAGATGAGCGGAGAGATAAACAGAGTGTTTACTGGAGATTTCTTTTCAG